TTACAGTACTACATTTACTTACACTTCATTACAATACTCGTCTAATGCCTATCTACATATTACCCAAAACGTTACATTACATTGCATCAAGGTGAAAGTATTTATTGGAAAAGCCATTACCATGATCTTAATGACATACTCAGTAAAATGTACTCAGCCTTATTGATCTCACACTCACACTTGGGCAGTAATAACCCATAATTTCTGTCCCCAGTCCTTGTCTGGACATCAAGGCTGTATGTCAGCTATTACATACTAGGAAAGAAAGAGCAATTAAATTGGAAAATAAATTTTGGTTAAAATTGAGGAGATTTTTAAGCTTTTATTTTAAGTTAGGTAGTAGTTCAATTTTACCCTTGGTAGAATTAGGTATTTTCATTTTTTTTGTGGTCTGTGCAGATACCATACCTTTTTAGACATTGTGTGAAACAAAGGAAAACACCAAATTGTACCAAGGGTGATACTGAACCATAGCATGTACTATTATTTGCTCGAATTAGGTCTTAAGTATGACAAAGTGCTGGAACAGTTGAATGAATCTCTCAGAAGACTGAAAAAAGACACTGTGGAGTTATTTTACCTCCATGCTCCAGATCACAACACGCCTATCGAGGAAACACTTTCAGCTGTTAATCATCTCTATAAAGGTAAGTATAGGACATTCTATTGGATCTTTTATCAAAGATGTCCACTTATGGGGATGTGCCCACATCTACCTTTAGGACATGCATATGTTGTAGGTCAAAATGAAATTCAGGTTAAAATGATTTTAACCTAGTTTGATTCGCAATTTTCTTTGACTTCTAACCTTAATTATTCATGATCCATGAATAATTAGGGTTAAGAGACAAAGGAATTTCATTTTAACCTGAGTTTTATGTTGACCTACAACACATACATGCACCTGTACAAGGTACCCTTATCCACCTACAGAAGATGCCCACATCTCCCTATAGGAGGTGCCACATTTACTTACAGGAAGTGGCTACCTCCATGTATAGGAGATGCCATATTAAACTACAGGAGGTGCCTACATCCACCTAAACTAGAGGAGGTGCCCACCTATAAGAGGTTCCCCCATCCACCTGTTGAAGTGCTTATATAGTCATCTCCAAAGATGAGTTACTTAGTCACAAAAGTTTGGTTTTTATTTTTATTTTTAACTTTTTAGCCTCACACATAGCATTTTAGATCTTAGCAAATATTATGGACGATAACTTCTTTATTGCATGTTTCAGAGGGTAAATTTAAATCCTTTGGCCTGTCCAATTATTCTGCATGGCAAGTGGTAAGTGTTCTAATATAGCTTAAGGTATTTTAATTGGTTACATCGTGTAGCTGCCCCCAAAAGAAATGTCCAGTATTGCCTTACAAAACCTAGTAAATATTTGACAGTAGTTATGATAAAGTTTAGTAAAATTCAAGACAAAGAAAAGTACAAGATTTAAGTTAAAAATGAATTATTTATTAAGCAACTTTTTAAGAAAAATTCTTCAGAAGAGCCCTTTGTTAACTTATTTGTTTAGAACCATTAATTACATTTTAGCTTGTAGTCAGACATTTACCTATTTCTATTTTTATGCCAATCAGGCAGAGATTTATTATCTGTGCAAAATGAATAACTATCCATTACCAACTGTATACCAAGGAATGTACAATCCTGTCACAAGGTGAGTGCAAACATGTAAAGTGATCTACAAGATTCTCAATTGCAAGAAGCGAGCCAGCAGTATTCAATGATGGGGAAAGTGGCCCCTGTCTATTGGCCTCCCTTCAGCTCTGCCAACCTTAAACCAGCTCCCTCCACAAGGAGGGGTGGAGGGGCGGCACTCCGAGAAAAATTGAGTGGGGTGTGTGGTGCAAAACCCTTACTTTATTTATGGCCAAAATCTGCGATTTTTCCTGCCCTATTTATGACCTGACCAAAAATTCGATACCCTATTTATGACCTGACCCTAAATCAATGCCCTGTTTCAGACCTGCCGTGTACTTAGTTCCCTAGTGCAGACCGATGTTAAAGGCTTTTGTTGATCGGTCTTATCGATAATGATGAAAAAGTAGCTTCTTCTAAAAAACATACCCAATTCAAGACTAGAGTACAAAAACCATACCCTTTTTATGACCAAAACTAAAATTGATACCCTATTTATGACCAAAACGGATGAAAAACCATAACCTATATATAAGGGAGTACCTCCCCCCCCCCCCCCAACCTGGGACCATAGGTTGGTGCGGAGTTAATGTGTTGATGAAAAAAGTTCAAAGTAGCGTTCTGTCTCGCTAATAATGTACATTAGAACACAAATTATCACAATGATATGGCCACCGGTGTGTCTTTCCCCACTGGGACTAATCGTTCGTAATGTACACTAATCTCGATTACTAGCCGCTGCTCGGAAAGGGAGCCCGCGTTCTTCCCTCTTCTCGGGTAGGGACGTGGTCGGGACTCGAGAGAGCGGCGGAAATCGAGGCTAGTATATCCCGGCATGTTAATTTGATTTAACATTCAACTATGAGGACCATCAACTTTTTATCCAGTTGACGCTGAGAGCAACTTTTCAGGTATTTGTCTTTTATAGTTTCTGTTTTGAAATAGGATTTTGCTTCTTTTCAGAGATGTAGAAAAGGAACTCTTTCCGTGTCTGAGAAGATTTGGAATAGCTTTCTATGCTTACAACCCAGTAAGTACCTCCTACAACTTCGATATGGCCCTAGAGACCTTGACATAGCAATTCACATAACCAAATTGTTGTCTCTTTTTGTGTTGTAGCTTGCTGGTGGGTTATTAACTGGAAAACATCGTTACGAAGACAGAGATAGCGGCAAGATTCAGCATGGCCGTTACGCTGGTACTGGCCCTTGGGCTGATGTGTAAGTTGACGTAGATATCCGATAATTTCTGAAGATTTTCCGAAACGTTATCGCCGGAGTGTTACTAGCCGGTTCATCCGCGAGAAATTCCGTTTCGACTGGACCCGAAAACATTCCATACTGATGGTGTCAGCTGCTTATCAGAGATCCGTGATTGGTTGTTTCTCAGTTAGGAATTTTTGTGCGCTGGTATCAACCAATCGGAATACAGGGATCGACCAGTGTGGAATTTGTCGGGTTGAGTCTGAAACGCATTTCAAGCAAGTTGCGATTTCTTTTCGTTGTGTTGAGAGGGCATCGGTCACTGCTGTCTTCTGATAAGCAGAGTATGATGGGAACCTAATTCTAACTCGTATTCAGTTTTTTTTTTTTTTTTTTTTTCGGGAACCGTTTAGTGAAGGCTTCCAGTGATTTCAATAAAGTAATTTTCCCGTATTATGAGACGTTTTAAGGGTATTTCATTTGATAACACTGGATACCTTTGCTGTTTAAATATTGGGAAAGAGCTACAAATAGATCGGTTGGTTCCATGTGGGAGGCTTGTCCTAATATTTTCCATCAATAAAAAATAATGAAACCTTATCTCAATATTAAGACAAAAACGAGACCAAAGTAGAGAGAAATTAATCATACAGAGCACACGGTCGTCCACAAGGAGTCTAACGAGTTTCGGTTATCATAAACCATCTAAAAGGTGACAGATAAAAAAATAAACGTGATGTATTAGAATATGCATGCAAAAATCTTTATAATAAATAGGTATCGTTCACCATTTATTTATAGGTGCGTTTCTTTGGGGTGATCTGGATCAAGATCAGTGATCCAAGATCACTCAGATCATGGTGCAACAAAGGAACCAATGAATCTATTTCGGCGCAAGGTAATAAACGCCGAAAAGCTTGGAATTTGTGAAAACG